CTAAGATAACCCATCTAGTGGAGGGGAAAGGTAGGGAGAGGAGAGACAGAAAGAAGAGAAGAGAAGGAAAAAAAGAAACCTGGGAGCTGTTCTCACATCTCCCTCAGATTCTGGAAATTCCTTAGCTCTTGAATGTTCACTTAGTTTTATCCATAAACAACTTTCCAATATGCCCTAATTTCTCGCCCAATTATGCTAGCATTTGTGTTCCAATGAGTCTCTTCATATTCCTTCTTGCTCCTTTGAATCTACTGTCTCCACTTTAACCAGAATAATTTTTAATCTAAAAAAATAGATTACTTTTTGCCTTACACCCACGTAATAGCTTCTAGTCACTCCTAACAGCACAGGCTTTCTTGACCGGGGCGCTGCCTTCTGTATCCCACTACTATGTAACTCTGTGCTCCTCTTACTATTCTGCCACCCTCCCCACCCAGCTTCTTTCTGCCTCTTCTCTGGAATTCTCACCTTATCCTCCCCACACTGTCTATGCTTACCCTCCAACCCATTCCTAGCACTCGGCGTATAGTAGACATGAGTGAATATCTGTTAGCTAAGGGAATAAATTACTGAGAAGTGAACAAAGAGAATGACTGTTCCTTTACAAACATGACACTACACATGTGTAGAAGAATATTGACTTCATAACTAAATATCTGAGCCAGGACTACCTCTGGAAATGGTCAGAGCGGGGTGCATACTGTGTGCACATTGTTATTTTATGAATTTCTTTTTTCTTTTTCTAAAATTCAGTTCTTTAATTCTTTCTCTTCTTTGTTTCCACCTTATATTCCAGTTTTTCTCTATTTGGTATGATTTCAAGTCAAAGCCATTTGAATTTCAAGTGCTATTAAACAGAATGGCAAATACCCAAGTGCTTCTAGGAAACACACAAAAACAGTCTTAATACATCTTAATACTTTACCATCAGACACTTCATTTAAAGTGTTCAACAATTCTGCTAAAAAGCGTGTGAATTCTAATATGTAAGAAATACAAGAATGAGTTCTGGTGAGAGTATACTGATTGTGCCAAAAGAAGTTTGACTCTTTATATACTGTCAGTTCAGAGCTATACCTGCATCATTCTAATGCAAATGTACCAGTAGATAGGTAGTTTTCCAACTTACATTATAACCACATTGACTATTATATGTGTAAATCACACTGCCCAATTCACTTGTAGCTTTTGGAGTTAGAAATAAGCAATTATATTTGATTCTTCTTCTTCATATATATATATATATTTGTATTTAGAGCTATTTGGAGTTATAGATTTCATTCTTTTTATGACCCTTAAAATACTATATTAGCTAAATGTTCACACTTGTCCTTTTTAGCTTTAACAGAAATGTCACAGACTAGGTTTCTGTAAATGACCCACATTCGGATGTGAGCCAAACATAATAGCTTCTGCCACTCACCAAGCAATGAATTGCTGCAAATGTAGGACACAGGGCAGAGGACTTTGTAAATTACTTTGTTTCATTGGCCATCATAAGAACCTGTGGCATAATATATGACCTATTTCTATAAACAATAATGCCTAAGGCTTTACGGACAGGTGGAATATAGTTTCTCTTTTAATTACCTTTTATAGAATTAATTTAAAAATAAAAATTTTTCAGACATATTGAATAGTTGTGTTGTTAAAAGAAATCCAAATGTATAACCATCACCATATAATAATGTGTATTTCAAAACAATATCATAAAAGTTTAGCTTTTTATTAAAAATTAGCTCAAACCTTACAAAAATGGCAAGAATAGTGCAATGAACTTGTATATCCTTTTAATGTCACTAATTGTTAAAAATTTCCATGTTTGCTTCACTTTTTGCTCTTCTTTCATCAATATGATCAAATATATTTAATTATATATATTTGATATTCACACACATGCAATGGCAGAAAATGGGTGAAACTATGTATGTGCTTTTGTGTGTGTGTGTTATTGCTGATTCATTTCAGAACACTAAACTTTTATAACTAAATATAAACAAGAAAAGTTTAAACTTAATATTATTAAATGTTGTATATATAGAGAGAAATAGCTTATTGTTCTCTCATCAAAGTCTCCAGCATCCAATGTTTTTATGAAATGGGGACTATTTTTACATTATCTTTCCAGAAATTCTTCTAATTTTTTTTTTTTTTTAATTTGGAGACTCACTCTTGTCACCCAGGTTAGAATGCAGTGGCATGCTCATGGCCACCGCAGCCTCCACTTGCTGGGCTCAGGCGATCCTTCTGCCTCAGTCTTCCAAGTAGCTGGAACTACAGACACATGCCACAATGCCCGACTATCTCCTAATATTTAATTGGACTCTTTAACTTTCTAAAGAGAACAAGAGAAGTTCAACAGATACATAAAAAAAATAAGATATCTTTTTATCCAAAAGAATAAAATAACTCACTTTTGGATAGATGTTATATTGCTTGACTGATTATAATGTCAAAAGAGTTACATAATAATCGTTGCCCAATTTATTTATTTTTATTTTGCATATATAACCATAGACTGGTTCTCCTGGTTTGTATAGGCTGGTTTTATAGAACTGAAAAATATATAAAAATTATATAAGTTGATAAATGGACTTTAATAATCTATCATGGAGTTTTTCACTGACAAACGCCACCCAAAATGGCAAGAAAAAATTTTTTTTAAATAGAATTAAAGTGCAGTCAATCTTTCTTACAACTTTTCATATTCCAACGTGCATTTTGTTTCTGTCAAAATATGTGTTTACCATCCTGCAGATCCAGGTTTGGATGTTTGCAGCATTATTCTTTCACACAGAATGAAGGAGCAATAAAAAGGAGACAGACATTTTCTGGGCAAAAGTAACAGAAGCCAGCAGAAACAGGACTGTGATTTCTAATTAAGTCAAAGTTAATTGCAGTGTTGATAATCCTGCACTTAAAATCTTCATATAGAAAATGTTTATGGCAGCAAATTGACAGTAATTTAGTGACATTAAATCTTATCACCATTAAAAGAAAAAAGATGAATGTTACTTCAAACAAGCTTAAGAGAATGGTAAAGACTAGTTTTTGTTAACAAGGCAACTAGTAAATCATTTAAATAGAATCTCAAAGTGCTGTCAGAGCAATAGTTGCATTTCAAGATGGCACCAAGCCATATGGCCTGCCTTGGACCATGGGTTAGGCTGAGTGGCAGTTTTGCTTTATTTTCACTCTATAATAAACGCAAAATAGTTCGGGGAGGGGGAGATACATAGAAGATCTTATTTGGTAGCTATGGTCAAAAAGTTTATTTCACTATTTTGGAAAACTCTAGATAGAGGCAGTTAAATAAAGATATACATTGTATAAGTTAATTTAACTAAAAGTCAGCATGATGGAATGAGATGAACTTTGGAGTTAGCTCTAAGTTTAAATTGCATCTGTTACTTAAAAATAGTAAGGCTGAGCCGGGCTCGGTGGCTCAGCCTGTAATCCCGCGCCTTTGGGAGGCTGAGGTGAGTGAATTGCCTGAGCCCGCGGGTTCGAGACCCGCCTGGGCAGTGAGACCTCATCTCTACAGTAAATCAAAAAATCAGCTGGGTGTGGTGGCGCATGCCTGTAATTCCGGCTACTCGGAAGGCTGAGGCGGAAGGATCGCCGGAGCCCAGCAGGCCGAGGCTGCGGTGGCCAGGAGCGGCCACTGCACTCCAGTCTGGGCGACAGAGTGAGACTCCAACTCCAAAAAAAAAAAAAAAAAATAGTAAGGCTAACTTTAAAAAAATCTTATTATTTTAATATGTAAAAGGTAAGATTAAAATAAGGCTAGAATGACCCAATGAATATGAAATTGATTGTCATTGTAGTCAGAAATTAATAAATTCTAATATTAAATATCTACTATTTCAAGCAAAATATAATTATCCTGATTATTGAACTAAAATACTTCCAATTCTCCAGTGTAAATGTGTAGTAAGGCATATAATTATGTGATGCTTACATATCTTTATAGGTCAGTTTATATACTGGCCGTTTTCTAAGAACTTACTTTTCAAAAGTTTAGTTTATTGACACTGATACATAAGGGTAAAGTCTTAGTCTGGTCTAGAGACTATTAGTGGCACAATTCTGTGCTTCTTAAAGTAGCTACAGGTATACATGCTAAGATAAATGTACACTAAGTCACAATATAAACATGATATTTCTCCATAGTTTCAATTTGACTCAAACTTTTGAAAGACAAGACATTACATTAAATACTGGTAGACTAGGGATAGTAAAAACATTCTATCTCCTCTTCCTTTAGGGGTATTTAATGAAGATTTTTATAATCGTTGGCCTAATTAAAGTCTATGATAACTATCTAAATATTACTAGGCAATATAAAATAATTAATCTTTCTTACTAAGAGTATTAATTTTTTTGGTAAGATATTGTCATTTTATTAGTGTCACAAGATAAACAGTAATTTTTCTAAATTAATATTTCGAGTTTTTTTGAAAAGTAGAAAAAGATTAAGTGAGCAGTTCATCAGCTTAGATGCTTCAGCAATAAATAATCCACCTATCATTCAAGTTGGAAAAGAAACCAACCAAGGGATACCCCTGTGCTGGTTGACCTGGCCAGGTGGGGTCTCTATCACAGTGGCAAAAACAACAACAGCTCATGAATGAATCCATATTTATTTTTCCTTATATAAATCCCTCATGCTTGAACTACTTTGGATTGTCATAATCCAAATAAGTGGCTAAATATTTCTCAATTTTCTACAGCGTATTACTTAGACATAAAAAATCAGAAGCAGGAGGCTTCAAGGACATAACTGCAAAACCTCCAGAAAGCTGTTGCAGGGATATGAGATTTAGTTGAGGAAATTATTAAGTAATTTCTGGGGTCTTAATTATCCAATAATTTCTGAAAAAGGAATGGGGAAGCTGAATTAACATAGAGGCTAATAAAATAAGTATAAATTATTTTGGGAGAAAAAAGTAAACAAGATTTGGGAAGAATGAAAACAGAAAACATGATTTTCTTCTTAGGTTGTACAGTGATTCTTGGATATCAGATACATTTCAGCGCATCCACAGTGAAGAAACTAAGTTCTTTATGCCATATGATTTGGAGATTTCCAACCAAGAGCTAAGTTATATAGTGAAAAGATCTGAACAATGGAGAGGAATCAATGGTGAAAGAAGAAAGGTGAGTTGGTTTGAAGCAAATTTGCTTTTTTGACTGAGCAAAAGAAATTCACTCTCTAACATGTTAGCAAATTGTTAAATTTCCTCTTGTTCTTGAAGTTATTTACTATTGTATTTTACTGTCATTATTATATAAATCTCACAATTTGACTTTATATATTTTTTAATATTTATTTTTTTGGAGACAGTCTTGCTTTGTCACCTAGACAGAAGTGCAGTGGAGTGGTGGCCCTAACTCTGCACTGCACTGCAGCCTTGAGCTCCATGGCTCAAACAATCCTCCTGCATCAGCTTTCCAAGTAGCTAGGCCTACAGGCACACACCACTACATCCAGCTAGTTTTTGAGAGATTAGAACTTGCTATGTTTCCTAGGATGGTCTCGAATTCCTGACCTCAAGGGATTTCCCTGCCTCAGTCTCTCCAGTGGTTGGAATTAACAGATGTGAGTCATCGTACTAACCTCTTTCTTTTTTGTTTGTTTTAATTAGTCGAAGCAAGGAGCCTAAACTAGATGGTTCTTATAGTTTATCACTATTATTTTATAAAAGAAACAGTGATTAATACCTTCTGTACATACATTGGTCAAAACTACATAAGGACTGTGCAAAATACAATAGAAGCTGGCGATGGGGTTGAGATTGTCTACATGTGACGATATTGTTGGCTTTACTGTAGCCTTGAGTGGACTGGAAGAAGAGGTTGCTGTTTCTACCTTTCTCCTTTGATGTCCTTGATAGTCAGTTCCCTGAATTCTCTTCTATTTTCTAATAACCTCTTTTACTAACTTCTTTGGCACCACTTCCTCCACCAGCCTCTTCTGTGTTACTGCCTTCAATTGCTCCATACCTGGTTTAGTCCCTTTTTTGATATGCAAACTGTCCTTTTTTAAACTTCCTTTCAAACTGTCTTCTATCCTGCTGAAGATTCTCTAATATATATTTGGACGCTAGCCTTTCTGAGGGTCAAAGGGCATAATCCATTTGCTTACTTATATCTCCATATGGATGTCCCAAAGATACCTAAACCTAGAATGGTCCAAACAAAATCTACTTCACTTATATTGTTTAGTTAATTAGCTAATTAATTAACATCTGCATTTCACCTATATCATGGACTACAGTATTTCCGCTTCTGTAATCTCTATATGTAGCATTTTCATCCATTCTGAATCACCAAGTTTTTCTAGACTTTTTCTTGTCTCTTAGACTTCTGTTTGAACATGTCCTATTACTTTTACTCTCAGAATATCTTCTCTTCTCTAATGCATTTGCTACTACATATATCCAGACCCTTGCCCAGCTGCTAAAGAACAGCAAGACTTCTCTAACTGCTCTCATTACCTTCAATCTCACACAGCAGTTGCCCCAGCTTTATATATCATGAATTCATCTTCCACTCCTAACATAGTGACAATTCTAAAATGCAAATATAACTCCATTTCCCTGGCATAAACCCTTCAATAACTTCCCATTGTCTGGAGAATGAAAGCCATGGTACTAACTATCTTGTAGTGACCTTTTGATCTAATTCTCTCCTACCTCTTGAGTCACATTTCCTGCACCCACCTCCCTCCCACCTCTTCCCACCCAGCAAGATATGACTAAGTCACATAAAATATGACTAATTTGCTAAACATGTCACATGGCTTCGCATGCCCATACATTTCTCTCTGTTTGGAGGAACCTCCTTGCAATTTCTCATGTACTGCCTGGAAAACGGATCATTCTTCCAGGGTTCAGCTAGAATGTTTTCTCTTCGGAGTCAACCCAGAGAGAGCCATTTTCTTTTTGTCAAAACTGCCTGTCCTATCTGATCCTTTTAGCATTCAATGGACAATTTTAGGATTGCCTGTTTTTATATCCCTCTTTTTTTTCAAGACTAAGTTCTTCTTGAGGAATTAAAGAGTGATTCCTCTGTCTTTATGTCCTCAATCTCCAACAAAGTCTTTAGAACATAGCACCTGTTTCTGACTATTTGCTCTATGCATAAAAGAATGCATGCATGAATGGTTGAATAGTGAACATGTTTGCTTAGCCCATAGAATGAACGTAAAACATACTTTATCCTGTTCTCTACCTGATAGAAATGTAAATGTTAGGTTTAAAAAAAAATCCACATTGGTTCACTCTTAATATGTCCAATATATTACAAATTCTGTTTATTTGATGTTGATATAACATTGCAGTAAGCATTTACAAGACCATTGTCCCTAACTTGAAATAAAACAAATTTCAGGTTACCATATACTCATTCTAGTTTCCTCTTCAAAAATCTTTACTAACTTCATAATTTGTAAAAAGCCAAATTTGTTGAAATTATCCTAAAAAATCAAGCAAAGAGCACTTCCTCTTTAGGATAATTTTGCAATGTCTGAAATAGGTAGAGTGCATTTTGCTTCAGTATTAAGTTTTCAATATGGAAGATTAAGAATTTGGAACCAATTTAAAGTTGAGTACCAAAATGAATTGAGTTGAACAATAGTACCTAAAAAGAGAAAACAGAAGAAAACAAATGTATTTGAGTATTTACTATTTCTATTTTAGCAAGGGGGTGGGGAGGAGAAAGAGAGAGAGCGAGAGCGCTAATATGTAAGTACTAGAAGGAAAACCGAAGGAGGTTGTGAAATTATTTAATTCTTTAAATTTAATATTTATGCTGTTTTTTGTAAAATGACTTAACAGACTTATGTTGAACAAAAGTAGAAATCAGAAAGAGCCCTCAGACTTTGAGTGCCCACAATTCTGTGTGTAAACATTCAAATAAATCAAAGAAAAGTCCACTTGGTTAAATGTAATTAAACAATTTAACCAAAGTCATTTGGGTCTTAAGTAAAATATTTTGGCTGTGATTCAGTTGGGCCATTAATAGAAATTCATATAACTAGATAAATGGCTGCTGTTCCTTTTACAACGTGTGTAAACTCAGCCACAATTAGTGGTGGGAGCCATAGAACTGTTTATCCAAATAATTTGACAATCTGTGGAGCACCTGTTATTTCTTGCTGTTGGGGTAATGTTTGTTACACACACAAACATTTCCAAACTGAAATAAATAGATATATGTTTTTTAAAATTTATTTACTATGTCTCTTTATGCCTTGAGTATTTATTTTGTATGTTATGCTTCTTAAGCTATCTTTTGTTTGCTTGTTTAGTTATTTTTAATGGGGAAGTGAGATAGCCCTGCTGAATAATTGATGTGCTAATCTCAAGATATAATGCCAGTTTAATTGAGAACGATCATCTATAATCTAAAATGCTAAATTAAGACTGGAATAGACATTTTAATATAAAAGTATTTCAAGTAAGTAGTCTAGAATTCTTGTGCTTTAAAAATTTGATCTCGATATTTGCCATAGTACCAGCTATTAAGCATGTGCTTCTCATTTTTATGATCTGGAATAAAAATTGCCCCATAAATGGACACTTTATAATATGCTTAATTTCCTTTTATTAAATTGATAAATGCAGAAGCACAGAACACATTTACAGTATGATGAGAATTTAGGATTATTGCATTTTATAATTTTTATATTGTTCACACATATAATTTGTCATTTGTGCAAAGACAGCTAGATGATAATTTTAAAGTATTTTAGCCATTTTTTTGATAAGGAAAAGGTCACTTTCAGTAGTCAGAAAAGACATCATTCTATTAAACTAATTTGCCTACATGCAAATTTTGTCATTTTTACCTCATTAACTATTTATCATGGAGTAAAAAAATATATATTCATGAAGGGGCAGCTCACAGCCTGATGGAGCTGGAACTAATATTTTGCAACTCTAATGATTTTTTGCATCCTTAATTAGATAGCATAAGGTTGATATGATTAGGTCAGGATGTAGTGTTTTTCATTAAAATACATTTTAGAAGCTGTATTCATAATCTGCCCTTGCAATTAAATAATGAGCCTATGAATTTAATATTATCGACCCAATTATTATCCCATGCAAACGTATACCTTTAATAAATTTGTGCCGTAGGACCTTCATTAGCAACAGAAAGAATGATATTTCTAGGTACATAGATTGAATGGCTATGGTTAAACTTTTATAATAGTTTTAAACATATCAAGAAGCAAAGCTTCAATACCTAGGCATTTAATTCCAAAATGTGCCTTACTATTTGTTGAAGACTAATTTACATTGTAATTATTTTCTTAAAGAAACTACCGCTTTGAAACAGGCTATTGAAGCTCATAAAAATAGCAGGATATTAGGTAGAGATGGAGAAAGTTGTGCATCATGACACAATGAAGTGTAAATTTAGAGATCCATTTGAGAGCAGAATTGGAAAGCATAAAAACTACAATGTCCATTTCTCAAGTGTCTGTATTATCCGAGAACAACCAAATGCAATTAATGAAGATTATTTTTATCTTATATGTGAGAATAGTTTTTGCTAATGGATAGTCATACAATGAAACGATGTAAGATGCTCTGAAAAGAAACTGCTCGTCTCTTATTGTGAATGTTACAAGGAAACATACACACATGGAAACAAACCCTGTTCCCTCATCTTTTTTATGAGTATTGCTTCTGATCTACTACTTTTGTGGACTGGTATAATGACTATAACAATTGATTAGGATCTGTGGTTTATTCTTGATGAAATTGTATTATGAAGGTTGTATGCAATTTATAATCTTTTTAATAAAAATATGTTTGAGAAAAACGGAGCCTATATTTAGTCATGAATTATATAGAGAATAAACATAGTCATCTACCCAGCAAACTGCAGAAAATGTGCCAGTATGACTATAATATTTTCCCCGAAGTACTCTTCATTTCTACTTGGAAAATACAGTCAGAAAGGGGAAAAAAAGCTTTTATTTGTTTATTTATTTATTTATTTATTTATTTTGAGTTGGAGTCTCACTCCGTCGCCCAGACTGGAGTGCAGTGGCTGCTCCCGGCCACCACAGCCTTGACCTGCTGGGCCCCGGCGATCCTTCCCCCTCAGCCTTCTGAGTAGCCGGAATTACAGGCATGTGCTAC